AAAAAAAAAAAAAAAAAAAAAAAACAACAAAAACGAGCTGATCTAAGGATACTGTCGGTAGGTTGACTGTTGTCCTCAGTTGATGAATTGATAATGTTTTATGGTTTGCCTTATAAACATTTTGTATCTGAAAAAGATGCTGTAGCGTTGTGATGAGAAATTAAGCGAAAAAATAGAAGATTTGTGGAGAAAAAGGGAAAAAAATCTGGCCAGAACTGTGCTGTATTGTTTCTTGTAGGGATTATGCAATTTACGTCTGTTGGCTGTTGCTCCACCAACTCGGCGGCTTTTGATTGCGGATTTGTTTCTGCAAAAGGTTAACAGACTACCCAATTCAATTGCTAACGATATGAGCGTTGGAGTACCGCTTGGCATTTGCAGATTATACCTTTCAGCCTTAGTTTCCACTTCAACTTTTCTGTTTGCCATTACCAAAACCAGCTCATTCAGCAGATTTTTTCAAATAAAACAGAAATTGGAACCGAAATTAATATTCATGTTGTCTAATTTATACAGGACGATACTGTAGAAAGACTTTTTGATATAATTAGAAAAATAATTTTGATCAAATTGTATATTAATAAATAAAGTTCAAAAACTATAAAGAGAGCGTTAAGTTTTTTGCTTTATCTAACCGAATCTTATTTTTTCGATTGCTGGGCATTTTACCTTGAATTAAACTGCTTTTTTTAAAATCGCAAAACGATAATAGATATGATAAATTACCTTTATTTTGCGAATAACAAAACTCAAAACCAAACTGCAAAAATAGCTCAACGAAGTGCATGAAAATATGCAAGCGAGAATTCGTTGTTTTTGCGAGGAAAATAATAATTTACAGATATTATTTGAAACACCGAAAAACTGTCAATGCTTTTGTTGATTAAAAAAAATTTTTTTGAAGAAAGTTTATTCAGAAAGATGAAAATATTTTGGTTTTGACAATGAAGTTAAAGGAGTTTGATGAGAGATTGTGAAGCTTTTTTGTAAATTATCTATAAACATATGTTGTGCAAGTTGCTTTTGGCAAATTTATGGTGATCCAGAAGGATGCAAAGCTATAAATCAGTTACAGTGTCAGGTTTTGGCTTCTCTCAAAACAAGGTAAAAATATGAAGCTTTTGTTAAAGCGATGATAAAAGTTTTATTTCAGCCTTTTATTGGTCATTTTCAAAAGTATTCTACCGAAAAATTATGTTGCCGCCTGACACTTAACAATTTTTTATTTTTTTTATTGTTATTCGGCTTTTTTTTTGCAAATTTTTCTTTCATGTATTGGAATAGGCGAAATGTGAACAGACAAACGACAAACTTTTTTCCTTTGTAGACTGTTTGAAGTCTAGTTCCTGCTAACTGCTAGTTTAAAATCTTTAGCGATCAGTTCAAAAAGTAATACACTGATTTGTTGTGACCCATGAACAGTTTTGGTTCACAACAGGAAAAGAAACAAATTGTTAGAGTTATAAAAAAGTTTAAACTAACTAGCTTGGTTGTCGTAATTTTCTTAAAAATATAAAAAAAATTTTCAAATTTCTGGACACAGTTCGTCTTTTCTTTTTTTTTTTTTTAGCATTTTATTCGAGCAGAAACGAAGCATAAATGTCAGAAAGCATAAGCAGTTTTTTAGTTTAAAAAATTACAGTATCTTAACTGATAAAATTTGTACAATTTGTAGAGAAATTTGTAGTTCTAATTATTCCCATTTTATTAATGTATAGAAAACATTCGTTTTGGTAGCCTCAGATTTATTCTACTCTAAGCACTTTTGTTTCATCAGGCAGTCATTGTAACTGGAGACGATACGACAACTCAGGGAGCTTTCCTGCAAAACTTTTAGCACAGAATAAACGACGAATAACTGTTTGAACTGATATGAGAAAGAAGTGCAACATAAAAAAAAAAAAACTGTTGAGCAATTAACAGGAATATTTAAACAAAAGTCAGGCAACAGAATCCACTCAATCTTATCTTCATTAATGCTTTTTTTTCTTTTTTTTTTTTGTTATAAAGCAACAACAAAAGCAACCAGAAGTCTGCCGTTGTCCACTAAGCGGTTCTCTCGAAAGAGGGATTTCATTGTTATCATTTCAACTGCAGACGCCCTCTTTTCCAGTTTGGTTTATTATGCTTTGCATACGCTCCACCCACCAGAAAGTTCTACCTTCTCGTCACTGAAAAGTGCATAACGTGAAAGCCAAGTCTTCCCCTCGTCTGTATCCTGTTCCGCCGCTGAACTTGGAGTTCTGCTTATTTGGTAGTCTGTTTGTGTGTGCCGGGATGAGTTCGGAATTGCCGGTGTCGACATCGGTGCAAAAGCCTAAACAACAGTCGTCGCCATTTCTTTTCTGTATTTTAATTTTTTTTGCTCTAGTGCTTGTTGGATTTATTATTGCCTTCATATTAATTGCTGTTAACCAAGGAACGAAGCCATCGCAGACGAACGTTCCATCTAAGCCAATTTTTCAGAAACGACCTGCTGAAGCTAACGAGGCTGTCAGGTTAAGATTACCAACTAGTAATGAAAAAACTGTTCATAAGTCACCTGATGAATTCTCGTCATCTCATAACGGAAATGCCGTTCAATATGCTGCTACAGAACAACTACAGGATGCCACTTTTCCAATTAAAACTAGTACTGCGGCAACGTTAGATAAAGAAATTTCCACAAATCCAGCGTTATTCGCAAGGAAAGCTGTTAAAAACGAAAAACAGCAGTTTTCTTCAGCTGAAAATTCTTTGATGACTTCCGCCATAGATGTAGATGACAATTCGAATGACGATAAAGCACGTTCTTCTTCAACAACTGCAGCTGTTACTGCTGTCGATGCAGCATCTGGAGTTTCAGCACCCTCTTCATACAACAGTAACAGTAATGTACGTCCTATTCCTGTTTTTACTGGAGGAAGGACTCCTGAAAAAACTACAGTCAGGCTTTACGAAAAGTCAAACGATGAAAAAGGCAGCACTGCCATTGAACCAGATCTAAAGGTTAGATTGCCAATGCTGGTGCCAAAAAATGCTGGTATGAAGGGTTTTTTGTCAGATGTGGATAATTCAGCAACTGCTTCTGAGGATTCAGTAGAGGAGGATATCTTGGAGCATTCTTATGAAAGTGGTTCTTCACCTGATTACAAGGAGAAAGTTAATTCTTTTGGAATACAGAGGAAGAGTGAAGCACTGCAACGAGTTTCTACAAGTAGCTTCTTGACGGCCACAGCTGAATACGGTGCCAAAGGTGGCAGTAACGTACCTTCTTCTGAGAATACTGCATTTGTAACGCCAGAAACTGTAATGTCATATTTTGAGTTCAAAAAGTTTCTTAATTCAGTCGCTGCGTCAACTAAGTCACCAAAAGCAGAATTTATACCTTCTAATACTACTGCCGTCGCACCTAGTGGAGAAAATTTAGAAAAGCATAACAGTTTTGGAATTCCTGTAAATTCAAATTTGGCTACTTCACAGCAGGTTTGTATTCCATTTTTTCATTAAACTGCTCTTTTAGTTTTCTCTACCGTTGTTTTTTGAACCAAGCATCAAGCGATGAAAGTATTTTGTGCTCAATAAATTTACTAGATAAGGAAGCCTGATATGACGTCCAACTTCTTTCAAGTCTGTTGAGCAAGTTAACTTATTGAAGCCGTCATCTGATCAAATGTTTTTTTACCCACATACATTTTATGCGAATTCTACTTGTTTTTTTTTTCACTCTTTTCTCTTTAAACGGAACTGATGAAATATTCCTGCTGAGTAAATAAGAATTTTTTTTTGTTTTTGAAGACTTAAACACTTTGCAAACTATTTTGAAGTTTAAAGATACTTTGTGGTTCAGATTACTCTCTTCTTAGCGGCATCTTTTCATGTATGTATAACATTTCAACTTTTATAAAAATTCAAGTTTTACAAACGCTGCTACGGCAGAATTAACGATGGGTACTCAGGAAAAAAAACTTTTTGTCGTAGTATTTGGGTGGATTAATTTGCAATTGTTTTTTCGCTCATAATTGATATATTCTGAAATTTGTGTGAACATCTCTGTGGTTAAATTACCGATTAATCAAGGATTTTTTTTTTTAAATTATTACTGATGGTGACAACAGGAGTAGCGATAGCAAGGAAATATATCTTATTAGAATTGAGATCATTCAGTTGTCTGGAAAACTTCAATAGGCATACTTTTGAAAATTTTGACAAAGATTTAAAAAATTTGTTCACTGTCTAAATACTGGGTAATACCTTCATAATACCGCAAATACTATTGCTTCTTTCGAATGATTTGTTAAATGTCGATTACGTTGTTTAAACAGCATTTTTTTTTTCTTAAATTAAGATAGGCACAATCAACTTTAACTTTCTTTATTCAATTTAGCCAGGAACATCCATTGTCTTTTTGATCTTGTTATACATGTTTGGTAATCAGATTTTCACTCATTCGTCTTCTCAACAGAAATCTATTTGTGTTTTTCAAATTTATCTAGTTATTTGTTCTTCCTTTTCATCAACTAGCAATTCTTCTGCTGTTTTTCGGCCTTGTATTACAACAGCGTTCAAGCATTTCAGAATATCCGCTTTGAGACTAAAAGAAATGACAACAAGAAAAAAAATCCTGTACGATCATTTTAGCATATTAGATTTTCATTGTTCTACACCAAAACTATCACTTAGATACTACAATAATTGTCTTATCTCTGAAGTTTCATTTCCGATAACGGTCTTAAAAAAGAACACAGAAATTAATTTCGTGCTGTTTATTTTTTAAAACTAAAAAAAATTTTTTTTTTAATTTAGTCTATCAAATGGTGCAATTTATCGCTTAGAATTTGTTATGACAATGTGTCGATAATGGGCAGCACTGTAGGCTTAACACAGTTGTTGTTTACATTGGTCGTTGTTCTGTTCCTTAATTATCAAAATCGCTAATGTATTCTTGAGCAGGCACAACAGCAGACCACAATCGTCATCAATTTTTTCTTTTTTGAGGTCTATCAATGCAGACAAGGGTATAAAACATCGTCATTTACTTTTGAGCTCTGATAGATTGTAAAACCTTTTCTAATAATTGATGACTTTTCTTGTTCTTCACTCTACCATAATCATTGCCACCACTTCCTATCAGCATTTATTATGACAAAAGCCTAAAAATAATCGTCATTCTAGAAGGTTTTTAGTAGGGGTTTAAATTGCAATAAAAAGTTCAAATTTTATGTTAAAATAGTCAAGATGCTGTCAAGTGTAAAAAAAGAAAATAAGACAATAAAAGCTTGTTTACTTCCTTAACAGTTAATGAGAATTCAGTTTAGATATTTTACTGCTTATTGTTTGACCACTGGTTATTAGTAAAAAAATTATTTTTATTAATGTGTAAAATTATAAGGTTCTAAGCTGATTTAAGTTACCAGTTAGACGTTCACAGGTTGTTGCATCGCTTTGGAAGCTGTCTTCAAATATGGTTTTATCTGTCTCTACTTCAAAAATTCCAGATTTTTTCTTTGCACAAAAACCACAAGGTTTGCACAAAAAAACACAGTTTTACGTTTATGATATTTCGTCTGATCTTCTCCTACTAACAGATGTTTTTTTGCTTGGTTTACAGTAGTACAGAAGAAGTAAGGAAAAAGGAAAGCGTATATGCTCGTGCAGCAGCGGTTGTAGTGTAATTTTACTGTCAATATCAATGTGACCCATGCATTTGGCAGATCCGCATCACAATTTTTTTAATGTTACTTTACGTTTTACGTTTCCTCTTAATTTTTTAAACTTTTGTAATTTATCTTATAGGTGGAGTTAGAAAGTTTTTGAAAGGGAGAAAGATTTTTCTTCTTATTTACTACTGAACTGTTGTGTGCATGACCGGCACTTGCAAATGTTCTAAACTTTAATGTATTTTATTTCAAGCTTTTTTTTTTTATCTGAATGAAAATTTGCATATAAAACTTGAAACTGGTAAAAAGGCGAAAAAAAAATTAATCAGGCTTTCAGAAATGATTATCTTTTTTGTATTATTATTTGCTTTAATTTATGAACATTTTAATTGCTTGCAGAATGACGGTGAAGTTCAAGCAGTTTTTGATTCATCTTCTGATGGACCGACAAAAGAGATTACAAAAAATCGTTTTGACGATAGAAAATATTACTCAAATTCTGATAGCACAAGGACAGATTCATATCTGTCAACAGCTGTCAGAGATGTGACAGATGTTAGAGCAGTAGCTCAAACTGTGTTGCCGGTCACAGTAAAACTGAGTACAGCGAAAGAATCTGCAACTCCAGAAAGTGTGACTACGACGACGATAACGGCAACAACAACAACCCAACAAAATTTAATTTTAAAAATCGAAAATGATATTCCTCTTTGTGTACCCAAAAAGCAACATAATTGCTTTCCAGGTGGTCACAGCAGTCAGACAACGTAGGTTTCAAATGATGTATTTTGATTTCTTCAAATATGTTCTTAGCTAACTGTAATATATAAAATTTCTGGAATAGCAGTTATACACAGGAAGTTAAGTCTTCTGTTTAAGTCAAAATCACTTTCCCTCTGAAAATTCGGCTAGTCAAGACCAACATTTTGGAGGACTTCGACCAGTGCATTATAACTTAAATCTTACGGTTCATCGGTCACCACATACTACACTTGAAGGAACCGTAGAAGTACTAGTAAGTTCTTTGTTATTAAATTGTACGTAAATGTCATTGGCATAGTTAAATTTGAAGTTCTTCATTGGTTCTATCTTTCTGCTACTATTTTGGTCACGTTCAATAGAAAATTTGTAGTTGAATGTCGTCGAAAAAACTTCTGTGGTATTCTTGAACATTGGTAGAAGTCTATCTAATATTGCACTCTCACAAATCGAGATTTCAAGTTGCACTACAGGTAAATGTTTATCTCAGGTTTTTTCTTGCTAGCAGTTGGTGATGTTTGTGATGAACAAGTGTTTTAAATTGTTATGCTATAAACATTACTTCAATTCTAGGAAGAATCATTTGTGTGGTATCGATGGTACAACATCTTCGAGAAGAATTACTTGTAATACAGTTAGCCGAGAGTCTGCAGCAAGGAGAAATCATAATGCTTACTATTTCTGACTTTCAGAATCTTCGTTTTTATGAGGGTGTTGTAATGCAAAATCCTCATCGCTGGGAAAGCAAACGGTGAAAATTTGATTACGAAGATTATCCTACAAATTGCTATGCACTGATCTCATTGCCGAGTAGTTGCTTTGATTTTTGGTTTCTCATTACCGCTGTTTGTAGGCCCTGGTCAGTTGTCACTTTCTTCCAGTTACGAAAAGCCAGAACCATTTTCCCGTGCATTGATATGCCAATGTTTAAAGCCTCTATGAATCTTTGCATCAAGCATTTAAAGAACACTTACGCAAGGTAAAAATTACCACATCACTACAAAGCTAAATTTCCTAACGGTATAAACATTTAGTTCAAAAGCGATAACTAACCAAACCTTAAATTAAAGAATCTCTAATAGACCATATAGTTTCACAGGTTGCGCATATCAAAGACACTTGCACTCAAAATAAGAAACTAATAGAACCATTAACAAGAAGAAATTTGGTAGGATTTTTTTTTGGTGTACTTGTTAATGCAAACTAAAAGCTAAAATTGCAGGTCGAACACTCAGATCGAAAGCCAGAGTGAGACTGGGGAATTTTTTGAAACGTGCTTCCAACGAACTCCAAAAATGAGCACGTACCTGTATGCATTCGCAGTTTATGATCAGATGCATTCAATTGAAGTATCGAAAGATGAAAAAAACATGCTTCCTGAGATTGAAATAATTTTCTCTGAACAAATGGGTAAAGAGGCTCCTAACTGGATGAAAACAGAAACCGTCCGGGTATTCATTTTGAAAATCACACTTGGTTAAAGAATTTTCTTTTTTGAGTTCAAGTCTCATTCTTTTTTAGGCATTGAATTTTATGAAGAATTTCACTGGTTATGCCTATCCACTCAGTAAGCTCACTCTGTTCTCTGCTTCTTTGCCAGTGCAAGGAATGGAGAATTTTGGATTAATATTGCTTAATGAACAGTGGGTGGCTTATCCAATGTACCCAGTGGCGCATACTATCCTAGCCCACGAAATTGTGCATCAGTGGGTAGGGAACATCGTCACTATTGACGGCTGGGAAGACCTATGCCTACAGGTTATTACTGCCTTCTCTTTTTTATATCGCTTTGTTAGTAGCACTGATGCTAATGGACTGACCATACTGCTTCCTCTCCTTGCGTTTTAATATCACTCTTATTCCTTGTTCACCTACAAATTCTCTCACACATATGCAGCCTGTTTTTTCTGCAGACAAAAGTTAAAAAGAAGTTATTTATCATTCTTTTGGTGAAACTGATCCGCATACTCATTATTACCTTAAAACTTCTCGTTATGGATTGCTTTGATCCTACAGAACCACGACCGAGTATTTTTTCAAGATACAAACCCCGTGAGGTCACTGGCATTAATAACACCTGAATATCTAATTGAAAGTTTCTATAATATTTGGATTTTTGTTTAAATGCTGTTCTCGTTAAGGGAAGTTCCAATTAATAGCATTGGTGACTGCTTTAAGTTAAATTTAATAACTAAAAATCGGCCAAAAACTAAGCGTCTTTTCCAGAATGGATTTTTAAATAGCTTTTAAATTTCTTCGAAAAAATTATATGCCAGCTTAATTTAGGAGGGATTAGATACATATATTGGGTATGTGATAACAGAGGGCCTTTCCAAAGGACCGAATAAACTAAAAGAATTGCAAGAAAAGCGTCTTCAAGCAATTGAAAGCGAAAGCAGAACTAGGACCCCAATTATTGGAGAATTCCAAACTTACGAAGACGTCAGCGTTCGTTAAAATTTTGAAAAGCGCCTGATCATTCTTTATTTAATGCCATATTTCCTGTTCAGCATTCCGCGATTTCATCATCGAAGGCCCCAATTCTTGATAGGAACCGTCAGTGAACAAAAATAGAATGATTGTTTTTTCAGGCTTTACGGTGTTTTGACAAACCAGTATTATTCTTTGAAATGTTAGCTGACGGTTTTGGTCCCGATGTTGTCGCCAAATTCACTAGGTAATTTCACCATATTTTGGTAAGGAAAAATTGTGAGAATATTTCATTTTTTCTGCATTAACTGAGGAAGTTTTGTAACTTCGGGTAAATATTACGGACTTGTTGAGTACCAACATGATGTTTAAATTCAGAAAAACCTCAACTTTAATACTTCAGTAAGCAGAATGGTCAATATTCTAATTATCATACTGCCAGTTTGTAAACTGGGATTAAAAATTAAATATTGTCTCCAGCGCCTTGCTGAAAAAATAACTATTGTTTCAGATCTTTGATAAAAGGATATGCATTTAAAAATGTTAAGTTTAGCGTCTGGCAACAGTTACTTAGTGAAGCTGCCGGAACTGAAATTGCAGGTACATTATACTCCTTCGTGCGTTTTTTTTTTTAATTGAAATATTAAACAAATAGATACGTTCAAATTTTCTTACTACATTTACACACTTGAAATACTGTTTAGTCTTATCAACGCTAGAAAGAGATCTGAGGAAAATGCTTATACAGTATCTTCAAAGTAACGTTTTAAGACCCTTATGCTTAATGTTTAAAAAAGAAATATTTAGGTAAGTTCTTAAAAGAATACTTTACTCGCCCAGGGATACCGATACTACGGGCCCGATATAAAGATGATAAGATAACGGTGCAACAGACAGTTGCGGTGGAAGCCAGAGAAAAAAATGTAAACAATACCGTTCTCACTGTAATTCATATTTAAGATCACAGGAAAATAAGTTATCGTAATCACCTGATCTCACTCAGTTGGTATAAATCTTTACTATGATCAAATGAAATTCAATGTCTTTCTAGGAAAGTCCTTTTGTGATTCCAATTACTGCTTCACATGGTCCTTACAATCCGCACAGTGTTTTGCTGATTAATGACACCGAGCAATCGTTCCCAATTAACGACTCGCAGTTGATGATTCTAGATCCGGATTCCAAAACCTATGCAATTATAATATATGAGGTCAGCTTTTAAAAAACCTTTCTATTTTGTCTACCCTCGGACAACCGTCACCATCCATATCGGTAACTTTTTTTTATAAGGATAGTGAAATTAAACCATCATTCTACACCACCTTTATATTTATTCGGTAATAATAGTAATATCAATAACAGCGATACTAGTACCAAAAATAGCAGTAATCATAACGATAATAATAATAATAATAATAGTAATAGTAATAGTAGTAGTGATAGTAATAATACTAGTATATTGAAGGCTGAAATGTATGCGAGACTGCTTCACTGTGCCGTTAAAGATTCCTGCAAGGACATCGATAAAGAAAGGATGGGCCATATATTGAAAGACTTTTGCTGGGCTTTGTTAAATGATTATCTCCCGGTCTCAAACTCGGGGCCCAATTCCATAAAACTCTGGAAGGAAATCACAAGGCTAATATCGTCGGCAAACTTGGTGCAGGGGACTTGTGCATGTTGCATGGATAAGAAAATTCAAAAATCAGGAGAAGTATTTTGTAAGTGGCACTGGAAAGATCGATGTGAAGGCATTCAGCTAGCTAAAGAACTTCAAAAAGCTGCTTGAAGAAAAATACCTTTAGTACTCCTCTGATTTTCTAAGCAATTGTACAATGCAAGTGAGATTGGTTGGCAGGTGACAATCTAGCTTGTTTTTCAGACTCAGTTCAAGTCACAGTATTCGGGTAACCTTTCACTTTTAAGTTTTTAGTAAAAATCTTAAAAACAATTAGTGGATTCTGAAGGTGCAAATTACGACCAGTAAATAGCTTCAAAAAATAACCTAGTTCTTCTTGCTTCAGCGTTTCGGAAAAAAAGCAAATGAATATTGCAAACTATTTTTATCATTATTTTAGTGGACTTATAAGAATTATGACTGAACTGCATAAATTAACATTTAAAACCGTTATGACCAAATTATTATTGTTGTTAATTGTTAGCTGTCGCTTTGTTACTCTAAGACGGCCGCATCAATCCTGTCACAACGATAAATTTACATTCTTACGATAACTTGTCGTAGAAAAGTGATCGGAAAATCATTTCCTGAAAGTAAACAGGTGCAAAAATTGCAAGTTGTGACTTTTAGTGGCCGTCAATGCTCAAATTTTCGTCACTGGGTAAAATGCAGCTTAGCTCCCAAAATTGTTTTGTAAAAACATTACTGTATATATCTTTTGTAGTCAATTACTACACTGTGTATCAGCTGGTAATAAATTTAAGAAATTCTGAATCACTTAAATCACTGAGCCACCTAATGTGCATAATCCAATCTAATTCTCACCGTATCTCAAAAATTTGTGAAACTCTCTATGCCTTGCTCTTTGGTCTTCTCAGAACATATTCAGCGATAAATTTTTGCAGCATTTCAATTTATACATCTACTGTAAAATTTAGCACTTTCGCTCCAGCAACCTAAAAAG